GTGAATTTGTGAAAACGGTGAAGTCATGCACATGCGTATTACATGATCAGTCTATAGGTGTGTGTAGTGTTTCTTTACAAAGTGACATCGCCACCTACTGGCCTGCCAGCAGAATACAGGGTTTTTAGTTGTTTTCGCGAATCTGTGTGAACGAGATAATTTTGACAATGTTGTCATCTGTAGTGAAAAATGGACTTAACCTTTCCGCCTTCAGTACATTGTTATTGTGTAAACGTACCCTGAGACACTAGTGTTTGAATCTCCATACAGATAATTACTCTTTTCTCCTCTAACTTTCACACTCCCTCTCTTTCTCTATCTCTCTTTTTGCACTTGTCCATCATTAAAATTCTAGTGCCATACTACTGCAGTACTTTGCAAATGGAAGGATGGGTGCAATTTACAGAAAATGCTGCTTTTTTTATTGTCTATTTCTCCTTAATCAGAGCAGCGAAAAAGGCAATTGATGGCTGATGGCACCACTGACCGCACAGCAATTTTATGGCAAGATTTACAGCCGATCTGCTGCAGGGCCACTTTATGGCTCATGCTCACCAAAAAAATGCTTATTTCCATAGAAGGATTAAACACAAGGGTAAATCAAAGAGGTGTGTGTAAGTGAGAAGGTCTACATTTCACATATTTGCTCCAGTAGCACACGTCTCAGTGCGAATGTAATCACTCTTCACTCGATCTATCCTGCATCAGCTGTAGCTTTTGTAGTCCAAATTGGTTTTAGATTACAGATTACAGAGGTAGAAAAATGGGACTACAGTTAATCAGAAGGGAATACAGATAAGCTTGAGTACTGCTCGTATGAAGGTCTCGTCCTTTACTCTTTTCTCTGCTGCAGAAAAGACTTGGCTGACTGCTCCAACTGGCCAAAGGGAACAACCATGACAGTGTTGCTGACCTGAACATCAGTTCCCTCTGATCTCCATTTCTGATGAATTTGGAGGCTGGGTATAAGCAGTGTCTGGTGAAATGTTTCTAGAAGTAGTCTGCCAGTGCCAAGAGTTGGCTGTGTCGGCTCAGAAGTTCAGATTATTTGTGGGAGTGAACTATCTCGCCACCCCAAAATCAAGATATGTGGTGAGACAGGATCTAGGTCAGCAATATCTAAGGAGATATAGCCGATGGGCTTCGAGCTGAGGACCCCTCTATTTCTGTCAGCACCGTTTGCCTTTAGAGAGTGTATTTCACTCTCCTAACCTCAACCAAAGTGTGATGTGCTGGGATGAACATAAATTTGTAAAAAAAATAATAATAAAAATCTGCTGGGTGACAAGATGAACTTGAAGCTCTGGATGCAGTGCAGCAAATGACTCTCTTAAACCCCCCCTGTAGTCAATCATAAAAAAAATCGCTTAAAACTCATCTTTGATCACCAAAATGACAAATTTAAGCGCTTTTCTTTAAAAAAAAAAAAAAAAAAACTTCATGCCTTAAAATAGCTTGAATGTAACTCGACACCTTTGCCTCATTTAGTATAAGCGGTTCTATGATTATGCAAATGAGCCCCGCCTCCACTCACTCACACCGCTCAGAGATCCACTGGTTGACGATCACACGTTGATCTGATTGGTTACAAGGTCGTTTGTGACGTCAGAAACACCAGCGATTTCAAACCGTGTTTTTGAGACTGTCTTTGGTTCACTGCAGTTTTAAGGAGAAAATACTCAGCAATGCTGTCGACTTATGAATTTACACATGGTGTGTCTTAAAGGCCCCCTGAAATGAAAATGTAAGTTTTTTAGCTCTTAGGATGAATATAGTAACTTTAGAAAACTGGATCAGCACTGAGTCTGTTTTGAACGATTCAGTTTGATGAACTGGTTCGGCCGGTTCACAAAAAAAGAACCGATTCAAAAGAACGTCACGGAGCAATATGGGTTGTAGATGTGTGTTCGGTTGCTCAAACGATCGAGTTTTATTCCGTTTTCAGAATAAAATGGCTGGAATTTATTCACACCAAGCTGCTTCCTTTAAAGCAATCTTAATCTATTGTGTAAAGTGCTATATAAATAAACATGGCGTGACTTGACTGGAGTGCCGAATCGCAAACATATCCATATTGCTCAGATGCTTTCTCAACTGCTGTTTTCTCACTGCTGTTTTTTTTGTTGTTTTGTTTGTCAAGTCAAGTCAAGTCAAGTCAAATATATTTATATAGCGCTTTTCACAATACAGATTGTATCAAAGCTGCTTCACAGTATCAATCAAAACAACTTAACAGTGTTTGTTTATTACTGGAAAAGACATCCAAGTTTGGTAGAGCTGATCAGTGGTATGATGGGTCATTTAATTTAATTAAGAAAATAATTTAAGTTTGTTTGCTGTGTATTTATTTTGTTTTTGAGATCAAAGCGCACAGCACTTTTCCCCCCATGTAAACGCTGTCAGAATACCGCTTAAAGGTACTTCACCTTCTTTTTACCCCTAAGCAAATAACAGAAAAAGAACTTTACAGTGAGTATACGAGTCCTTTAGACGAAGATACCATTCACTCCATTATCCTTGACCCACTTCACCTAATCACCCATAATAATCAATAAAGACTATGATGATCGCCTACATCACTCAGGCCCAGAGGGAGTGGGTATGAAGCTCAAAAGCTATTGGGTGCTAAAAGAACAATCTGCTATCAGACAACACCAGAAACCAGTGTTGTGGCAAAAATTCATCTCAAACAAACATCACTGCGTAAGAGACACTCAGAGTCAAATTATATAAAATAGAAGTATTTATTCTTGCAAGAATAGGAGCAGTCTAATACACAGTTGTTACCCTGTGCAGAAGAGTGACACACCCCCAGACAGACTGAACTAGCTTTTATCTTAGTTTCAAGGCCTTCTTCCCCCCAGAGCCTTCCTCCCAGTAGTTTTCCATAGACGTCACTAGTTGGCCCACTAAGCTCCCCTGCACCAAAATGGCCTTCTGACATCTAGGTCAGAGGTCCTTGTTTGTCTGTTCTCTGGAGTGTCTCCCTCTTCTGCCTCCCCAGGTACATAAACAGAATCTTCTCTCACTACAAGTGAGAGACACACATGTGACATTCTTTGAATCATCTATATTTAACTAAAGATCAATGAATATCATTAAAATTGCCACCACACCAGCAACAGCAAATGTAGAGAGCAACATCATCCCCACAGAAAGGCAGATCTCCCTGCCCGCTTGTGAACTCACTTGCCGGTCTTATATTAAACTGATGTAGACTGCTTTGGACCTTAAAGGCAGGCCGTGTATGATCCAGAGCAGTGCATATTGATCTCCTCACAAACATGGACACTGGCTCGTTCTCTTTTCCCACCATTGACAGAATTTTCCGTAATTTATGAGGAGCTTCTCCGCCATTGATGGAATTTTCCAGTAATCTATGTTTTCACTGTTATACGACAGGGGGCGCTATAGCGCCGTTTCAGATCTCCTAATCAAAACACAGGCAAAAAAGGAGCAGAAACAAGCGATAAAAGCATTTTTGTTCAAAATGTTGCTTTTTTTATGATACTTACTCAAGCATTGATAAAAAAAGAATGCATAATATATTCAGATATTCATACAACAACATATTCTTGGGGCCATGACATTTTTGTGAAAATTATCAAAAATCCGGGCGGTGGCTGGCAACATTTTACAAAAGAAAATAAACTAGAGTTAAACATGAAAATAACAGTGTAAGTGTCTCTTTCAATTATAATTACAATTTCTAATGCAGCTCTCCAGTGTGTCTTTAATGAGGACTGGTGTGGCCTGAGGAAAAAAACAAAGATAAACTGAGGGTGAAATTCTTGACAAGAATCCCAAGAATCTCCTAAAAAATAAAACAGGGAATTTGGTCATATGGACAATCAAACACTATTCCCTCTTCCTCACTATTCCTCATTCCCTCTTGGCCCACCGAGCATACAGCTGTCATTAATTTTGTGGAATGACTAAACCCACAACATGCTTTATGTGGCTGTAAGCGCAGCGACAGTTATATGACAAGGATCGTTCCACTAGGCAGATGGTGAAGCTTGGCTTTGCATACTAAGTACCTTCAACCCTCCTTCTAACCCACCACCACCTCAGCCCCTCAATCTTTCACTCTTCACTTTATACTTTCTCTACAGTTTCTTGTCATATAGGGGACATTTCTTTCCACTGCTCTTAATACAACATTTCCCCCAGTTCATTTCTCAGTGCTTTTTATGGCATTCATCAACAACATTGTCACTTGCTTCACACACACACAAACACACACACACTGCTTCCTCATTCTCCCCCACTGCTCCTGTTCCTCTCACTCTTCTACCGCTCAATTTATGGGTGATTTGTATCTTCTGCATAATCTCAAAATTTCCCATCATCCTTTTCTGTAGTCCTTGTTGTCACTGTTCCACATTAGCCCACTCATACAGTCCAAACAAAATCTAAAATCAATTTTTTTCCCACATAGCAGGGAATATAAAACGCACACATACACACACACACACACACACACACACACACACACACACACACACTCTCTCTCTCTCTCTCTCTCTCTCTCTCTCTCTCTCTCTCTCTCTCTCTCTCTCTCTCTCTCTCTCTCTCTCTCTCTCTCTCTCTCTCTCTCTCTCTCTATCTCTCTCACACTCTCTCTCTCTCTCTCTCTCTCACTCACACACACACACACACACACACACACACACTCACGTACACGCTCTCTATCCCCCTCCCCCCCCCTCTTTCTCTCTCTCTCTCTCTCTCTCTCTCTCTCTCTCTCTCTCACACACACACACACACACACACACGAGTGTATGCAATGTAATCTTTCTTGCAAATTATTTAAAATGTTACATCAATTCCATTTAAAAGACAATGATGAACATTGTGGCAATGACAGTAGTGTAATCTCACTGAGTGATTGGCATTTTTTTACAGTCTATGGTGATTGGTGATGTTCTGGACTTCATTTCCCAGAGTGCAACAGAGGGGGCAGTTCATCAACATGTGCATTTGTTATTGTTTGTTGCTCTCATCAAGATCATAAGCACTCGTACATGGACGTGAACGGTCTTATCTGATTCTGCAATAAACCTATCTTTGTATTAAGGTAAGAGTAAAGTTATTTTAGCCATGGTGTTCCTATGACATGTTAAAATGCAGATTTAGACCATGAAAACTTCCTCGTAGTATTTATTGGTGTTCATTTGTATGCTTATTTTCTGCTGTTCATGATTGGAGTTGCTGTAGCTGAACGAAGGTCATGGGTTCAGTTCCTAGGCAGCACAAACTTGATGCTCACTTTGTGAATAACTACCAAACGCATAAATGTTAATTAATGTGTGAAATGTGGCATTTTACTTATTGAAATGCTCTCAAAAAGTAAAAACATTTGCTGACTGTGAAACCATTCAGCTGTCAATACAAGACTTTATATTTAACAACTGTAATGGATTTTTACAGAAGGGCCCCAATGGTTGTGTTTACATATACAACGATTAAATGAAAAGATTAAAGATGAAATGAGAATGATTAGTCTGATTTGACGGCTACTTCTGCTGTGTAAACATTCACAGATAGAACTCTGTTACCCCATCTCTCATGCAGTTTCACAACACTTGGACATCCAATACAGCCGTCTGCGGAGTCAAGCATTCCTGTAGTTTGTAGTTTAATGGAAAGACACTAAATATAGCTGACTACACAAACATGATTGTGCTTACTCATATTTCCAGACACTTGAGTTATTTGGAAGAACTGAAAATGTACATCTGATCCATGTGAACAGCAGTGTTATGGTCTTGGATGTTGAACATAGCTACATAATCAAAAGAGTTTTCAAAGTAGGTTTTTGTTTTTGATTGTTGCTTTGTCAGTGCAGACATCTGAGCTGCTTTATAACTATGGAGGAAAACAGAACTGTGAACTTCAGAGATGTTGCAGAGCACTATTTCTCAGATACGAAGGTGGACTGTCGCTACACTATAAGTAGTCGACACGATTGGAGCAGTCATGACTGGATAGGTCTATTTAAGGTAAAACACAGTGTTTATTCACTACAGAACACAATAGCTGTAAGGCCGCATCCTTAGAAGTTCGAACCGGCGTTGTTACATGGGACGGTCATATTTCAGTAATATGTGACTGTGACTGTTGAGTAAGCTGAAACCTAATACTTCCGTTTAGAAGGATGCAGCCTCTGAATTTGGATGCAGCTAATGTGTGGAAAGCATAAACCTGCAAAGCAAATACTTTTTTTTTTTTTTTGTAAATCATCTTGTTTCACAGGTGGGATGGCTGACAGTGAAAGATTACCACACGTTTGCCTGGGCTCTAGCACCAGAAGGGTACCAAACCGGAACAGATGCCAACTGTAGTGTGGCCTTTTACTGTATGTTTACATGTGATATATAATATACTATTTTATTTATGTTTGTTTATAGCCTATTTGATACATTAGCTGGTCATGCATGCTGTCACATGTCCTACACCAGTGAAATAACAACTGCAGTTCTTGGTAGAACAAGAACACTCAAGTTATCTGATACTTTATAACTATTGCAACACGACTGCAAGTGCCTGACATCTTTAAGGCTGTAGCAAATTAAGGAAATATGAGTTGTTAAAACTATTATAAATTTAGATCAGCTGTGAGAATTAACTTAATGTAGCAGAATTAACACCACAATCAACTAATGAAAACTCAAAGTTAATAGTTTTTAATTCTAAGAAATGTTCATTTCCAGGGTTCATTTCTGGAGTACTAATCAGAGCATGTAGCCAAAATCTGCATGATTTATATATGAGCATGAACCACAAACAACTTTACGTGTGACAAAACAAGTCTTTAGTAAACAGACTAAATACTTAATGCATACAGTTTAGCAATGGAAAGAGAGCTGAGGAAGAATACAGGAAAGCAAGAAGTTATAGCATTGTTAGAAATGCTTCAGCAGATCGACAGCCTTGAGCAAACCATCGGCTTCTTAGTTTAACGCACACTTCCTTAAAAGAGGTAGTGGATGCTTACTGTGTCAACTAATGAGTTTGATATTTGCATGTCTTGGCCATGTGATTAAAACTGTCCTGATGCAATTTGTTGAGGCTCCAGTTGAACTTTGCTGAAGTTGTCTTGATGAGAGAGAACCGGTTGGAGTCAGATGATCTTTGGTGGATGGAAAGACAAGGCCACAGCCTGGCACAAACTTAGGGCTCCTTAGAAGACTTCTAGCTCATCTTCAATTTCTCAGAATCAGCAAAGGGAAAAAAGGGGGCCTGATCTTGTGATCCGAGATCTTTTAAATCATGAAGATGTCACGAGTGAGAGGCGAGTGAGCCAATAAAGAGTTGTTCCTTTGGAGGGAAACTTTACGATCCTTTGTCTTCTAGTATGGTGATTGGTGATTGATAATTTAATTGGTTGTTGATTGAGAAACTATTAAAGATTCACTAATATGCTGCATATGTATTGACATATAATGTACATGATCATTTGAATTAGATACCAAACATGATAGACATGTGATCTTGACGAAGTAAACCATTCATTCAAAGAAGTTAGATTAATAGATAAAAGAACCTGCATGATTACATAGAGTAATCAGATTGTATCTCAAGTGATTATATATAGAGGTTAGTATGATTTCTTTGAGTTGTAAACCTTCGCTCGTTGGGTGAGGGGTATTGTGGATTATTTGTTAAATTTAACAAATACAGTAATTGTGTGTTTGTACTGTCTCAGTCACTACAAGGCTGTACCAGGCCATTTATGTGTATGTGTTTTTTTTGTTTCTGATCTTCATTCCACTCTTCCTATCATCTTTCAGCATCTTATCTACCAAAACCCGGTGGGGAGGGGTATCAGTTTGTGTATGTGGATGAACATGGTGAGGTATCTGCAGTCAGTTCTCCGTTTTCTTTCTGTGCTCCAAAACCTCTGGATGAACTTGTTACGCTAGAGCAGGAGAAAAACGGCGAGGAAGACGAGGATGGAGACGACCTGCTGGTGGTGGTGCCGAAGGCTCTGATCCTACAGGTGAGGCTTCATTTAACACTCGAGATCAGAGAACAGATCTGACTGTAACAACACTGTTTTTAACGCCACAATTCATATTTGGACACCTAAGGAGACATGTAAAAGATGTCTGTCATTGCAGCATATGCTAAAATATCAAGGCATTATTTTAAAGAAAATGTTGATTCACAAAACAATGTTTTGAAACCAATTAGTACAAAATAGGTTAAAAAAAAAGCTAGTTAGCTCTAGTATCATTTACTGATATATTCTGTTATTTTTTAGGCCACTTTTTAGGCCACTGTTTCTGCCATAATATTTTACTTACTCTCTTCCTATTTAAAAATAAATATATATTTCCGCAGAGTCTCTTAGAAGGATGTCAGCGTGATTTACATGAGTTGCATAAAAGGTTTGAGACTGCAGATGTTGAGGTGGAGAGAGAGAGGGAGAAATGGATGAAGGACAGAGATGAGTTTGAAAGCGTACGAAATAAGATGACGAGTCAGATTGACGAGTTAAAAGACAACCTGAGGCAAAGCACTGAAAAAATTGAGGAACTGGAGCAAAAACAAAAGGTACAATCAAAGTTTTAGGTTTCATTGGGTAATGTTGGTTAATGCATTGACTAACATTATCTAACAATGAGTAATACATTTCTTACAGTATTTAATAATCTCTGTTAACATTATTGAATAAAAATACAACTGTTCATTGTTAGTGCATGTTAGCTTACAAATATCATTTAACAAACAAACAGTTACAATTTTTGATTTTAATAATGTATTAGTAAAAGTTTAAGTTAAAGGGTTTGTGAAAAAATTACAATTATGTCATTAATTACTCACTCTCATGTCGTTCCAAACCCATACGACTTTTGATCATCTTCGGAACACAAATGAGGATATTTTTGATGAACTCTGATCTTTTTGATGAAATCCTTCTGTCCCTCCATACGCCGATTTCACGCAGCCGCCATTTCGAAATCGAAAGCGAGGCTCCGGTGGGAAGAACCTGGAAGTACAGATAAACAACAATGCCTTGGACTACCAACCTGAAGCTGCTGCCGCGATTTACACTATTGTATGTTAATATCCAATATAGGATATGTATATAGTTTGTTCCTGCTTCTTTTTTTACTTTCTGAATTATATATATAAAAAATATTTTATTTATAAATGAATTTCACTGTATAAAGTCTAAAGTATGAAAGAAATGTATGTACAGTTTTAGAATAACTCATTTATACATTAAACACAACAATATGCCAACGCATTCGCGACTCTCCTGTGATTAAAGGCGGCACTTCCGGTTTACTTCCCACCGGAGCCTCGCTTTCGATTTCAAAATAACGGCTGCGTGAAATCAGCGTATTGACAGCCTACGCAACTACCACTTTCAAGCCTCAGAAAGGTATTAAAGACATCATTAAAGTACCGCAAGTGCTTTGCTTGCACACAAAATATTTTTTGCAAAATATTAATCTCGTATGACGTATGCGTGTTGTGTTAATGCGAGAACATATGTTGTTATGTGGATGTGCGTTCGAGATTAATATTTTGTAAATAAAGTGGTAGTTGCGTAGGCTGTCAGATTTCATGAAAAAAAAATCTTTATTTGTGTTCCGAAGATGAACAAATGTCTTAGAACGACATGAGGGTGAGTAATTAATGACCGAATTTTCTAAATTTACAGATTATTAAATGCTTTAGAAGAAATTTTCAACTATGGAGCCTTATTGTAAAGTGTTACCCAATACATTTTTGTTGGGCATGCTTCTGAACCACCTCAAATTTGTAATCAGAAAAGCAAAAACAAAACCACCATTTACCATCAGGATGTGCAGAACACCCATGAAAACATGTATGCTGAACTGAATGGACTACTAGCAGAGAGAGCTGAAAACCATCAGCGGATCAGAGAACTCGAACAGGAGTCTGCCACTCTGACTCCACAAAAACAGGACATAGAGGCCGAGCTGGACAGGTGATTTACGACTTATATTATACTTTGTTTATGGACTGTTCATTTCAATAACGTAACTAACTGAGTTAGTAAGGAAAAGAAAACACTATAAGATAGAAACATGCCATTTTTCTCTGCAGAATGAAGGAAAGAGTTAAAAAGATGACTACACAAAGGCGAGATGAAGAAAAGGAGAAGAAAGATTTGCAGGTGAATTATATTATATATAAATTTGGTCAAGTTATCTTAATTTATATAGCGCTTTATACAACGCAGATTGTTTCAAAGCAGCTTCACATTAATAAAGAGGAAAACAACAGAATAAATGATGCAAACAATGAATTTGATTCTGCTGTAAAGCAGCTCTAAAAAGACAGTGGTGTCATTATTCAGCTTAAATCAGTTCAGTTTTTACTCAGTTCGGTTTATGAAACAAATTATGAAACAAAGTGGATTCAGGTGTGAAGCAGCTCTGCAGAAAACAGAAGAGTCATCATTCAGCTCAATTCAGCTTTCTTCTCATCCAATAGTGTCAGTGCAGTCAAATCAATAATATTACTGAAAATTATTCAGTTCAGTGTAGGTTCAGTTCAGTTCAGCTCAATAACTGTGTAAATTAAGAAATTAAGAGTATGAAATTCAACATCAGAATGTTCTAACTTTTCACATTCTACATTGTAATATTTTCTGCATTCTGTGATCACATCACGTATTTGTCAAAACGTAGCGGTTAAAAAAAACAAAACTTTTTTTAGAAGAACATTGTTTTGGTTGTGCTTCGGCTCCGCGTGACTGTGGATGAATATGATTCTCCTACTGCTCATTAAACATTCACTACTAAGCTTAAGAGATATAACCAGTTTAGAAAGGATCTCAAGCTGACTAGCTGAAGACATTACTGTCTGTCCAATAAAACACCTTACTCACCTGTAGATTAATAAAACACCATCATCTCAGCGTCGCTTTTACAACATTTCAAATCCCTCAGTTCTCGCCATCTCTTAAAGCCAAGCCGATGTTGATTCTTGTTTTATGACGAGCTCTGTCTCGTTTTCTTTTCTCCAGCAGACTCTCCTCTGTTCAGCGCTTGTTTAAATCGGGTGATTCCCCGAAGGTTGGAGATTTAGAGGCTCCATATCAACCTTTCTCACTCATTGTGACAACTAACCTCTGAAAATCACACACACACACACACACACACACACACTCAACCAACCTCTGAAAATCACACACCAGACACGCGTCAAAGCAGCTGGAGTAACTTTATTTACGTATATATTGAATCAGAGTAAGACAAAAACACGCTTTGGAAGAAGGATTGATGTATTGGCTTTTAGTTGAAATGAACAAAAAAAAGTTAGATGGTGGACCTTTTTTTTAAAACAGTGCTACATTATAGGTGGACTTCAGAATTGACATCCCGGACTGATGCTGTAAAACTGCATGATTTGTATGAGAATGAGTATTTCCTCTGCAGATTGAGAATGAGCAGACACACACAGATCTGCGGACCCTACAGGAGCGTCTGGAGGCCAGTGAGCGCAGCACCGATGCCCTTCGCAGGGATCTGAGTGAACTGGGATCCATGCAGAGCCACAGCCATGCAGAGCTGCACCAGGTCCGACTGCAGTCGGCACAGATCAATGTACAACTGTCCCAGGCCAACCTGGCTCTGCGTGAGGGACAAGCCGTCTGGGCCCAGGAGCGAGAGGCTCTGAGACACAGTGCTGAGGTTACTACAGTACTTCCACTTTTATATCTCATGACCAATTCGTACGAGTGAGTAAAAGGTGTCTAATTCGTATTTGTCTAAACCCACGTGATGGGTAGGTTTAGGGGCGGGTCAGGTGTAGGTCATACGAATTCATGCGAATTGGGCAACTCGTAAAATATGTACGGTTTAGCAAAAATCTTACGAATTCGTACGAGTGAGGTTGTATGAATTTGTACGAATTAGCCACCTCGTAAAATCTGTATCAATTGCCGTGAGATCGGGTTGGTCCAGCCATAACACTTACTAGTAAGTGTGTGACTCAAAATCTTTGTGCTCTTGTTAAAGCTGGATAAGGATCGTGTCCAGAAACTGAGCCGTGAGCTTCAGAAGAAGGAAGAGTGGCTCCAGGAGGAGAGAACGGAGCGAGAGAAACTGGAAGTGGAGCTTGGGAATGAGAAGGATTGCAACCGGGTAAATATTCCATGACACATGCATGGCCCTATAATTAAACTTTCACCTCGTTCAGAGCCTTCTGTATACCCAGCACATATGGGGGTCAGGTTACTGGTCTTGGAGCAACACCAGGATGAGGCAAGTGTTGCTTTAAAAAAAACTTTAAATAAGTCGACCAAAATAGATCTGAAACACTATAAATTGCACATGTATATGTTTACAGAAGTGTTTTCCCCCCTGATTACTCATGTGAATGGATGCCATGACACACTAGTTAACTTGCTTGATAAGAAACTTAATAAAACACTTGATCTTGAAATATTGAATGTGGAAACATATTTTAATTTCGGCATGAAACAGAATTTGCTGTCGTCTTTTCTTTGCTATTGTGACGAATATCTAAGTGAAATGCTTCTGGAACAAAAACAAATGTAGGGCGGGGCTTGATTTTGTCTGTGGGTAATTGATAGGCTGGTTGTTGTTTGCTATTGGCTGATCTCATGTAAGTGACAGGTTTCTCTGCCCTGGTCATCAGAGAAGAGAAGAGATGTCATTGAGTTTGAGCGTTCCTGGTCAACATATTTTGTTGATCCTAGAACTAAATTTTTGTCCTAACAATATCCGTACCACTAAACCTAACCCTACCAATAACTTCTCCCTAAAATAAGAGGAAAATGATCTGTGAATAACTGATGTAGAAGCACCTAACCCTGGCTGTAACCCTAAACTTGACATAATCTGTAAACTTGAATCTGATTGGTTGACTGAAATGTTGTTCCAGGATCAACAAAGATGTTGATCCTGGAACATGTTGTATTTCAATTCAGGTTCTACTCGGAACCGAGAGGGAGGAAAAGTTATTTTGATTACAGATTATGAGCCACATGAATTAAAAAAACATGCGCATTGTTTTTTTATTTTTTTTATTTTTATTCCTCCACATTGATGTCACACTGTGGTAGACATTTACATCTGACTGTTTCAGAAACAGCACTCAACACCAAATGAATGTATCATTCCAAAAGAGAGAAACAGAGATGACATCAGACAACCATAGCAGTGTGTAACACTCAGTCCTAAAATAGAGGTTACACTAAATCAAAGTTCAGATCTCAATACATACAAGAAGCCACTAAATATATAAACTCAGTTATCCATGTATTAAACAAGTGTACTATAAGTGAATCAACAGTAGGCTACACACACACACACACACACACACTAAATATAGAATTAAAAGAACTGCCTCCAAAAATTTCTCAATTACGTTCTCTCAAAAAATGGAAAACTCCCTTCAGGAGTCTGATTATAATTTATACTTATAAATAAAACTTATATGAAAGACATTATAATTCAAAAGGCAATGATGGATGACCATATTCCTACAGGCATCTTAGGCAAATACAGGCATGAATCCGATAGGTGATGGAGTTTGCTAGCAAACGCTTTGAGATTAAATCCCTCACACTGAATGAAGTTTCACTAAATCATTGGATTTTCATGTGTGTAAATCATAGGAACTGAGAGCCAGTCTGAAAGCCCTGCAGAAGGAGCAAGAGCAACATCAGCTGGAGAAACAGGTCAAAACTTTCTGAATCTGTGTCTGACTGATCTGATCTGATGTCATGCTTGCTGACTGCTAGTGTTTTATTCACAAACAGGAGCTCTTAGATCATATCCGTGTGCTGGAGCTGAGACTGGACACTGAGACAGATGCCAAGTGGATGGAGGCAGCGGCTTCACCAACACGTCAGTTCACATGATCCATCATTTCTTCTCTTTATGCTGACATACATAAAAGGATGTAGTGCTATGACAGTAAATCATCATCTTATTTCTTGCAGCTTGCATTGATAGCCCTCCATCAACTGAAGAAAAGCCCCAACAAGAGTCTTTACCCGAGCTGTCTTTAAGTGTGCTAGACAGTGAACAGTTCAGCTCTCATGGGTCAACAGAGCAAAGCCAAAAGGATAATGAGGACGATATGATGGCAAGTACCACAAAAATTAAATATGCTTGATTAATATTCAACTTAAAAACAATGTTTAGCGAAAGCATTTGAAGCTTGACATGCAAAAACATAGTATTGCCTTCAAAAGGGATCTTAACCACAAAATAAGAATGATGTTCCCTTTGGAAAATGAACTATAGGCTCAAATTAATATGTAATTCCAACAAGTTAATGACATCCAGAAAGTGTATTTTTTAGAATAATCTAGTGCTTTAAATTTTTTAAATTTATGCAATATTTTAATTGAAAATGTTATTTTATGCTCTTTTACCTTCACATAAATGCTACTTGGTTTGATATCTTCATAATCATATATAATTACATTTTCATCATATATTGTGAAAGTTTACACATAAAAACATGTGATTAACTTTTTTTTTGTACCAAACCCCTTATATAAAGCAAGAGGATCTAGAAGTGGAGCCTTATTCCAGTGTCATTGCTGACCAACCTTTACTGCTTTCTGAACACGAAGACAATCAGGTGATATGATGCACAGATTCAGAACATTAGTTCCTGTGTTCCTTATGAACAATAAGTGTTTGGAAATTATATATGACATGGATCTGTAATGTGTTTCACTACATTCTTTATAATTTAATGTTGTCATGTTATTACAAAACAGATACATCTCACACCATCAGCTCCTTAAACTCACACAACTCATCACAAGAATTGACTAACTACAATTTAAAATCTTAAACAGAGCAATGTATTTTTTTGGTCACTTTGTAATTAGGGATCTTGTGGCATGAAGGCATGTTGGGTTTTGATGAAGTTTCATCGGTGTAAATGTGTTAGGATGAGCCATAACGGCACGTTTACAGCAGACAAGCCTACAGAATTTCACTGCAATTAAAACCAAGGTCCTGTACCAAATGTAACCCTAAGCCCTCGCGATCTTCCTCCGAATCCACACTGTCGACTCGTGACGGCAAAAGAGAGTATATCCGCCACAAAGGGGGTGCTCGCAAACACACTTCTGAAACCTAAAATGGCAAATGGGACACCCACATGCACACAGCACCCACTGAAAGACCAGTGCACATGAAGTGTGCCTTCAGGGACATGCTGAAATCTCTATAAAATCAGTCATGAAAGCTGCCTGTGAAGGAGACCTGACGAGGAACACACATGACATACACAAAGAACCAGCACAGGACTGCAAACACAGGGAAACTAAGGCCCCGTTTACACGAGAACGATTCCGGGTGAAAACGTAAAAATATTTGATCGGATGTGCCTTTCGTTTACACGGCAACAGCGTTTTGGGGGCTTAAAAACGCAAAAAAGTGAAACCACCCTCCAGAGTGGATATCTTAAAAACGCTCCACCGTCGCGTTCCCGTCTAAACGGTAAAAACGCAAATCTGCTCACGGTGGCTCTCGTCGCGTACGCGTTTACGTCACAGGCATGCGCCAGTACAGGAAAATAACAACCAACATGTCAGATTATTTCCATACGACGGACCTTCAAGTTGCCCTAGCAGCTCTGAAAAACATACAAGAGTCTTTTCAACAGTTGTACAAAATATTCTAAGATATTGGTGTTGTTGTGTGGCAGTGCTTCACATTGCCACCTAGCCGCCTGGAGTGCATACTACATCGAATTTCACACACTTTTGCGTCACCACATGCACGCGGATTTCCCAACCATAACGCTCGTCTAAACGCAGAATAAAGTGATAACGCAACGCCACTTTTGCGTTTTCTCTTCAGATCGTTTCCGTGTAAACATAGCCTTAATAGGGAGAGCAAAAAAAGCAGGTAACGAGGGAGGACAGGTGGGGCAAATTAATCAATAATCAGGTAACAAGATGGGAGGGGCTAGACAATCGACAGGAGAGCACATGGCACAAGGAAACACATGACAATCCATGTGCTCACACCAAACGTGACAAACACATGAGCACATGGCCAGCAAACACAATCACAAGCCACGTGTTCACACAAAATATGACAACATGAAAGCACACTGTCAGTGATAAACACAAGCTGCATGCAACACAACACAGCACAAGACAAAACATGACATGAAAGCACATGAAACAAGGCACACAGACAAGACAAAACAGGAGTGTCAGGACTCTGTCACAAAACCAAGAAATCGACTAGACAGAAGTGACAGAACCCTGACAGGTCCGGCTTGTAGCATTGTGTACCTTTCGTCACACCAATTTCTCTGACCTATAGCTCAATTTGGAAGCGCATACTAGTATACAGTAATACTCGTATACTAGCACCAGTGCGGGCTCGGCAGAAGTGCGCATCGAGGGCCTAAAAGACCTAAAATGACAAATTGGACACACTACCAACTGAACATGGACTTAACGGACATGCGCACGCGGCAGCCATTATACATCCACAAGACCTAAAGTGCATATGAAGTGTGCCATTTGGGACAGGGCCATATATGCCTAAACTAACCAAACTAGGGGATAAAAGAAAACTCCCCAGGTTCCTGAAACGCTCCAAGCGTGCTGGGTGTGAAAACACACTCAGACAACATGTTCTCTGTCTTCCCTACAGTGGTCTTACTGACGCCCCCTCGAGGTGAACCAGAGGTGGACAGAAGAAACCTGTGTTTACATCAGCGCATGAAGATCATGTGCTCCTGATCAGTGGGAAATATCAGAAGAGTTTTCTGAGCTGGCTTATTATGCAAATTAATAGATGCTAAGAGTGCCGTCTGTGGTAGTTCCAGTAGTGTGAAAGTGTCTGTCAGTATGAGTCTCCATTAAGAGGAAGCTGATGTAAATAATGTATGATGTCTAGATATGCCATATATAGCGCCATATAACCATATAAGAAATGCCCTTACAGAGTGCTATAATAAAAAGTTTACATTTTAAATAATGGGAATGAACTGTTATACATTTGATGTAGCAGAAATTAGTCTTTTTGGATTTTGAGGGAGCAAATGGAGTGTTTCTGAACAGATGAGTTGATAGAGGGGGAAAGATGGGACTGATTCTTTACACAGGAGACAGTTTAGCTTTTGATTTCACTTTATTTTTCTCTTTGTTTAGATAGGTGTGCTGGTTGTGGGTTGGTTGTTCGGTATTACCTGACAATTACATAAGTGCATTTAAATTATCAGTTCTCCATTTTAGATTTTATTTATTTATTAAATAAACACTTTATCTTAAAAGTTTGTCACTGTTTGTTCTCTTCTCAGTTTGTGATGCTGTTAATGCTATTCATTCTTGATCTAAACTCTATATGTCCTCAGGCTGGTTGGACCTGAAATTACAAGAAAAACAACAACAGTGAACAAAATTACAAACACTTTTGTTTTTGCCCCCATTTTTCTTGAGCTGAACTTAAAGATCTAAGACTTTTTCTATGTACACAAAAGGCCTATTTCTCTCAAATATTGTGTATATATATCTGTGTTAGTGAGCACTTCTCCTTTGCCGAGATAATCCATCCACCTCACAGGTGTGGCATATCAAGATGCTGATTAGACAGCATGATTATTGCACAGGTGTGCCTTAGGGTGGCCACAATAAAAGGCTGAAAACCAAAAACTAAGTGACACCAGTCAGTATCTGGTGTGACCAGCATTTGCCTCACGCAGTGCAACACATCTCCTTCGCATAGAGTTGATCAAGTTGTTGATTGTGGGATGTTGGTCCACTCCTCCTCAATGGCTGTGCGAAGTTGCTGGATATTGGCAGGACCTGGAACACGCTGTCGTATACGCCGATCCAGAGCATCCCAAACATGCTCAATGGGTGACATGTCCGGTGAGTATGCTGGCCATGCAAGAACTGGGATGTTTTCAGCTTCCTGGAATGTGTATAGTCTCTGTGCGTTCAAAATGCCATCACTCGCCTACAGCTAGTGCAAAACGCAGCAGCTAGACTCCTCACTGGGACACGCAAGTACAAGCAAGTAATCAATCACCCTTATCTTATTCAGCATTTGCCCACTCAAGTCGGTTAAGACGACGAACTGCAGTGAGGTCGAGACCCCGATGAGGACGACGAGCATGCAGATGAGCGTTCCTGAGACGGTTTCTGACAGTTTGTGCAGAAATTGTTTGGTTATGCAAACCGATTGTTGCAGCATCTGTCCGGATGGCTGGTCTCAGACGATCTTGGAGGTGAAGATGCTGGATGTGGAGGTCCTGGGCTGGTGTGGTTACACGTGGTCTGCGGTGGTGAGGCCAGTTGGATGTACTGCCAACTTCTCTGAATTGCCAATAGACCCTTTTACTGTTTGTACACAATGATGACGTGGCAACGTATGCGCGCGCATATTGGCAACGGAAGTATGGCGAGAATCAGCAGCCTGTCAAGCGAGCGGATTAAGCAACACAGACAGAGAAAGTTATTTCAAAAAGTTGACTTTATCAAATCCGGTTCTTCTGAAACGGCCGTGATCCTGTCGGAATCCTATAAAACTTAAGCCCCTTGGTGGAATATCGATTAGTGCAACCGTAAACGCAACAACCAGACATTTTGATGCTGGGAAACGGTTTTGAGAAACTTTCGGAGTTGCTAACACGTTAGAGCCAGTGGGAATCAACACCACTTCCGTTGCCAAAATGCGCGCGCAACTATTTGATCACGTGGGCTGTAAAAGGGTCTATAGCACGCTCCCTCAAAACTCGCGACATCTGTTGCATTGAGCTGTGTGATAATACTGCAGATTTTAGAGTGGCTTTTTATTGTGGCCAGCCTAAGGCACACCTGTGCAATAATCATGCTGTCTAATCAGCATCTTGATACGCCACACCTGTGAGGTGGATGGATTATCTTGGCAAAGGAGAAGTGCTCACTAACACAGATTTAGACAGATTTGTGAACAATATTTGAGAGAAATAGGCCTTTTGTGTACATAGAAAAAGACTTAGATCTTTGAGTTCAGCTCAAGAAAAATGGGGGCAAAAACAAAAGTGTTGCGTTTATAATTTTGTTCAGTGTGTATATATATATATATATATATATAGAATGCTTTTGTATGCTGTTGTTTTTGTCATTTTCAACATGCATGTGTATATTGTGTATTTATTTATTTTAATCATAATGCCTCTATTCGACATTTGGGATTTGTCGTAAATTTGTAGTCTATCGGTTTTTTGTTGTTGTTGTTTTTGTTTTTTTGATAAAGGCAAGATAATGAATCAGGCTTAAATAATGGATCAGGCTTAAAAAACTGATTGGCTCATGCTTAATGATTTAAATTCAAATTCTATTGAAAACAAGTCAGGAGTGTTTCTATGTAGCACTGACACAATGCGATGATGATAAACCAATTTATTGTAAATTGCATGGAATTTTTTTTTTTTTTTTTTTAAGTGACGTCTAAATTCCAAAAGCATTCAAAATTCTAGCCCACATAGAAATGTTACAAATTCAACCATCTCCAACTTATGACTAATTATGAATAAATTTGGTTGTCAGTCTCTTGTAGAAAATCTATGTATTTGATTTCACATAGTATCTGAATCTATATCTCTTTCTCGTTTATGTTTTGTTTTCCCCTTCTATTATCTGCTATCTCGTTCTCCTCCACTCCTGTCCTGAACTCTTTTTCTCTCATTGTGAAATCAATTGTGGTGAACGCCACGTTTTACTGTCTCCTCTGAACCTTTAAACACAAGGTGGAGTGATGATCCTCTGCTCCTTTACCTTTAACCATCAGACACACAGAAGGCATAGAGATCCTCAGAAGGTCTATTTTATCTTTGAACCTCGAGCATCTGTCCTTTCCTAGATCAGCAAGTTTATGCCAAACTTATTCCTTCCATCACTTTTAAGTTTCTAATCTGCTGGTTAACCTTCCCAGCACTGAAACAAGAAGACTAAAATTACTAATGTTTAATACTGTCAACAAGTTTGAGACTTAATCTTACACACAGATTTAAACTTCAAGCACAAAATGCTAGCAAGGAAATAAACAAGGTTCAAGAAAAGCACCTTTTGTCCTCAGCATGTCCTTACTGGTTTGCATTATATTACAGTAGCGCTATTTCTAGCATATCAATTATACATGAAGACAGAAGCACATAAAACTAAAGAATAAAATATACAGCGAACCCCTCTAACATGTAAAGTTACTATGGAAACAGCCCTTGCGGTGGTCAGATAAATGAGGTTGTTAAAAGCTATAGCTTGTAAAACTATAATGTATGGACCTAGTTTTAGTCTGTGCAGCACATTACTGATCTCTGTTCAAAGAACCTTAATTATGGCAGTGATTTAATTAGTCTTATCCTGTGTCTCTGTATTTTTGTTCTCTATTCATTATAATGAACCAAAATCCTCTTTGGTGCCAATGAGTCTAAAACAAGACGCATATCTCACGTGTAAGTCTATTTAATTTCAACAGAAGCATTCAAGGACTCTATGCCGACTGCCTATTTTTGCTAAAAATCTCTTCCAGCATAGTTGCAAACTCTTTCTGTCATATTTCTTATTAAATAATAATAATAAGGCGGTTCGATTCAATATTGCTTTGTCCCGTTGTGTGACACTTCAAGAGTATAACTTTTAATGTTGTGCTTAAAGGGTTAGTTCACCCAAAAATGAAAATTATCCCATAATGGACTCACCCTCAAGTCATAGGTGTATATGACTTTCTTCTTTCAGCCGAACACAATCAGAGTTATATTAAAAAAATATCCTGGCTCTTTAATGGGAGTGAATGGTAACTTAGATTTTGAAGTCCAAAAAAGCGCATCCATCCATCATAAAAGAAATCCATATGACTTAGGCCTTCTGAAGAGAAGCCATGAGTTTTTGTAAGAAAAATATCCATATTTGTAACTTTATAAACTACACTAAAATCGAATTAGTTAGACCTACTTTAAAAAAGCATGCAAACCAATTGCCTTAAAAAAACAAGTAAATTCGCCTTTGGCTAAGCCACACCATAGAATGTAGATTGACCAATCACAGCGCAGCCAAGAACGAGCTCCCACAGAGGTCCGACACTTTTTCACAGCGCTCCATTGACATATTGACATAAATATTAACACAGGCGTCTCATATTTTTGGTCTCGACCGGCTATTACCGTCGTAGTTTTATCAAAAATATGGTTAAACGTTGTGCCTGGGGCATTTGTAACACAGATACGCGTTTCCCAGAGAGGTTGGAGGGGGGTGTCCGTTTTTTTTCCCCTTCCCAAACCGAAGTCAAATCCTGACAAGTGTCGTCTAGCTGCTAGCACACGCATACAACGTTATACTCGCGTAGTTTGTTTGCTTTGTAATAACGATTATAGAAGTGAATAGAGACCTACCCAGCTTTGCATGAACAGTGTTGCTCCTTGATATTGTTAGTCCCAGCCTCCGTCTCCATTAGTAGGATATGCGGTGGTTCATTTGTTGACTGTGACCGGTATGCTTTTGCCTCTATTTGGATGCCTTGTTGTTCCTTGCGTTTCATCTGTATGTCGTGAATATAGCTTTCGAACGTATATTGCAGCCGCTTTTGCCTACTTCTATCGGACACTTTATTAGCTGCTTTATAAAAGTTTGATACAATTTCAGCAGGAAGAGCTGTCACAGCATAAGCCATGTTGATACCAGAGCCCAGATGAAGTTTGTTTGTCGGACGTAGCAACAGTAACTAAGGGGGGCGGGGCTTAGCCAAAGGCGAATTGAAATAGGAATATGTGGTACTGACAAATGCTTAGTTAGTATAGTTCACTTACACAAGAGTTTTAGTAACCAAAAAAGAACTGTAGAGAGTACTTGATAATTTACTTTAAGTAAAATGTAATTGTTACTGTGAGCAGGACGAGGCTGAGAGAACGGCGTGATTAATGATGAGCGGAGGAGCGGAGGCATGAAGGAGGAGCGACGACAGTGAAGATCGAGAGAGGAACGGGCCTGGACTTGTGTTGTGTTTTATGTGACAGCAGTCGTCCGTGGGGGGCTGCTGTCTTTTACTTTCATTTTGTATTCGTTTATTTTATTATTAAAGTCTTTAAATGTTCGCCGGTTCCCGCCTCCTTCTTCCCATAACAACGAGCGGCGTTACATTGGTCCCGAAACCCGGGAAGGACAAAGAGTCTCCGCCATCATGCAGCCACAGTTACCATTGTTGTGTTTTGCAGAATGACGGCTCCTGTTATCAGACAGGTTTCTTTTCTAACTTCTTTTGGATCTTTGATTGTGTGGTAAATGTGTTAAAAGGAATCAGTCTTTAATGGCACAGCACAAGACGAGGACATCTAGAAGCAAAATCTGGGTCTATGAAACACACACTCACGGTGAAAACATTACATAAGGGAGAGTACAAATGTTCCTCTCTTAGTTTAGCAGGAAATCATGACAACACAGAGTATGATGAGAAATTTCTTTATAAAATCATAACATTTGGAAAACATACAGAAAATGCATTTACAGAAGAAGTCCAGACATGATGTGGACATCATTTAAAGTCATCAATACCACTTGTGTCTTTGTATTAAGGATTGGATGTACAGAAAGATTCGTGTAACAGTTTCCATGAGAGTTGTGCAAGACGATTGAAACGCTTTTGCAAGGCACATAACTGAGAGAAATATTAAGAACAATGAAACACAATTATGGGGAGAATACAAACAAATGTTAAATGCTATTATATTTCAAAAGTGTTGCTAAGAAACAGGGATTGTTTTTACAAGAATTAACCCATCTAGGCTGCTTTTGTAACACCATATTAAGAGCACAACCAAAAAAAAAAGAAAAGAAAAAAAGATCATTTTGTAAAATTACAAATGTGCATTAAAACATAAACTTGTTTGTTTATTCTCCTTAGCTGGGAGCCTCAACCGACCCACCATGTTTCCTATGATTCAAAACCCAAAAGACAGGCAATGTCAAATAAAATTACAAAATAAGCAACAAATAATGCAAACGAACAAACATGTAATATACACATATTCCAAACCACCACAAACATAATTCTTCATCAAGCAAAAATTTGAACTCTACTGCAATAAATGACAAAATATAAGCACAAAAGGTAAACACTATTTAAGAAATAAAAATAAAAGAAAGAACAAAAGTCTCAGATGTCAAATCCAATTTATCATGTTTAATGTACAAAACAGACACTGAGTCTGAAAAACATTTGCTCTGATAATTCACAAGAACAGTAATATCCTCCGGCCGTTTTGAATTACACTCACTGCTACATTTATACATTTGTCAAAATAAAACGCACACGGAAGGGTTAATGCATTTCCAGGGACTTTTATCATATTTTCAGGCTGTGATATGGCTGTGTTCCCTTGGTATTTACAACATATTTGGACACGTGTACATGCCTGAACTTAAACTGCACGTTTGGCTTTGGTCTGGAAATGGACGTATAGACACTAGAAGAGATCATTTGAGCCCATGTTTACCACGGTTTACTGCTGCAGGTCATATTTACCCTGTCACGCATCCGGATCAGTGCATTACATGAAGCTGCTAGACTCGATGATCACTGCAGGTTTATCCAGCACACTATGTGGTAATCATGCATTCGCTTTGGTCAGTTGAAATGATCTCATTTTTGTTGTCTAACCACATTTTGAATAGGCTGATCATTACATTGGTGGTACATAAAAAAAATAATAAAAAAACACTCTTCCACACACTCAATAGAGACACACAAGGAATTATGGGAGCGGTCAAAAAACCAGTTCATAACATGCATCACTGATTACAGATAAAACAGAAATGTAACAAGACAAGGATAAATAAGCAATAAATAAAAGTACATGTATAGCCAATAATGTGTGTGTGTTTATATTTGAAAATATTTTAAGACAACATTGTAAAAAAAAAAAAACTGAGATGTTGATGCATCAAATGAAACGGTAGAAAGATACAAGAAGAACAAAGCTATCTTTACAGTTTAGCAAATAGTATACACACATCTTTCAACATGAAACCGTATGGCTCTATCCCCAATATCTCACAGGATGTGCAGCGATCAGAAGCTTATGACTGTGCTGCGGAAACACTGTTCTGTCATGTGAGGAGGTATAATGTTGTTATCAGCGGCGCACACAGACCTCAACAGGGATGAAAAAGGACACTGGAAAATTCGATTTCTATTATTGTCCTTAACTTTCTATTCTCTTATTCATCATCAATAACACCCTACTCTGTAATCTCTCTCACCAACAAATAAAAACGGTGTTTTACCATGTTTTTCAGACATGGTACCCAGACAGCAACATAATGTCGGCCCAGGTCCGGCCCACATCTGGAACGCATGGCATCCACATGTACCAGATGTGGGCCGGATCTGGGCCGACATTATGTTGCTGTCTGGACCATGGTATTCTGTAAAGAGCCCTGGATTACTATGTAAATAACACCACAGTAGTTGGTGCTTTTTGTCTTATCTCATCTAATTATTTTACTGTCATTATTTCTGTCATTAATATTTAGGACTGTAATATCAATATACAGTCAGTAATACCATGACACTGAATGATTACCATAGTCTTACAGAAGTCTGTTTGCATGATGCTCCAACACATTTCAAAGAATGCCATGGTTTTACCGTAGTACATTTCACTATTTTATAGTTGTTTTTTGTTTATTAGTTTTAACAAAAAGAAAAATCTTTGGTTGAGTTAGATTTTATTCTTTGGTATTGGGTATTCTATGAGAGATTACTTTTTTATAATGACGTCGATCATTGTGACTGACTGACTTGGTCTAAAATCCAGTTTTGTTTAATTCATTTTTATACATTAATTTGACAAACAGCTATTAACTCTTTCCCCACCAGCGTTTTTTTTTTTTTTAAGTTGCCAGCTAGCGCCAGCATTTTTGGTCATTTTCACTAAAGTTTCATGGCTCTCAGAATATTTTGTTGTAGTATGAATATTTGAACATGCAATATATCGAAAGAAAGAACAGACCCTCTGCTTTTAAACAAAAAAGGTACCTGCTTTATTCAAGCTTTATGCATTCTTTTTTATCAATACTTGAATGTGGGTAAGTTTAATAAAAAAGCAATAATCAAAACACAGATGGAGTAGATCGAGTCCATCAAAGCTTTACATTCCTATAGCTCGTCCTGGGTCGACATTTCATTCATTAGTTTTGATTTATATGCTGTTTAATGTTGATGATCACGCTATTTTACATATGCATATGTGCTTGTTTCAGCTTCTTCTTCGCCTGTGTTTTGATCAGGAGATTCAGCACTCTTTCAGAGGATGTGTAATAGCGCCCCCTACCGTATAACAGTGAAAACACGGAAAGACGGAAAATTCTGCCAATGGCGGGGAAAGAGTTAAAGAACTGAGCAAAACACTGTCTTGAAGCCCTGCTGGATCTGTGTAGGGTAGATTCACCTAACTAGCATTATCCCCCATTACCTACAAAGGAACATTTTTGACAGTTATGGGATTGAAAGTGCACATCGCTTGTACACGCCACATGTGCTCGGCTCACATCACTATAGAGTTCTTACATTGTACGACATATCAGTGTAGCTTTTATTGCGTTTAATACCTATATCACGTAACTCTTCTAGATCCCAGAGTCAAATGTTACATTTCATCTTTTAATGTTAATTTTTGCGTAATGATACAGTATAACTAAAGATCTAAATGTACGTGAATAGCTAGTGCACGCGTGCTCTGATAGAGACTGTGGAGCACCTTTGGTCCTTGATTTGCCCTGAGTGAAAAGTTTGATTTGTAATAATGTAATGAATGTGATGTAATGTTATCAATCTAAAAATGTCACTTTCAATTCAAAATATCAACCTAAAAACAATTATTTTATAATCTTCTAATGCCCCAAACCCTAAAATTGGTATAAATGGTAAATTCAGATGTAGAGAATGGCTGTAGGATATTGTTGGAGCGTTTAGTAAAAAGCATGCACTCAAACACACATAAAAACACACTGAAAGAAGAATAGAGTTGTTGAAAAGTATGCATATACAAAATGTAATATATCTGAGACAATGCAACATCAAGAGTACAAAGTTATGCAGTAAATGTATGTCTAGAAAAAAAGTTTTTTTTTAGACCATTGAATTGGTCATGTGGTTGTTTGTTGTTTTTTTCTCTTATCTCATTGATCAGCTCTGATTATGCATTCATATACAGTTGTGAAAATTGCTTCCCTTATAGAGAACAAGGCTTTGGGATGCATTCTCAAATATTTGGCATCTCCAAATGTAGTACAAAATATGCATATACCAAGTAACATCCAGATATGGCATAAAGGCCTTTCTTTCTCTAGTCTCGCACTCATTTTAATTTCTCTCTCTATTCAGTTAGAGAAACACTGTCTAAAGTAACATTGGCATGTTTTTCTCAGTTTTTATGATGTCATTTTTTACTGCTTTTGGATGGTTGAGGGAAACTTGATGTGCAAAGTTGTGCATGCTTATTTGTGTCATATAGAGTTATTATGGGAAACGGTGTTGTTTGTTTGACCGAATGATGGAAAATCTGTTTGCATCGACTGCTCAGGTGTCTACAATCTGAAGGTGTCTGCTGTTGTGTGTGTGTGTGTCTCAGACCCGCATACATACTGCCGTCCAGCGGTCACTGCGCTCGTCCTGACACACTCTTTCTAGCTCCGCTCATGTCCACTTGCAGGATCCCCCATTCCTCATCCTCACTGTCCCCTGCCCTGTCCCGTCCCTCCTCCACACACTCGTCCTCCTCGTCTTCTTCGTCCTCCAGGGCAGATTCCTCGTCCCGTTCGCGTTTGATGGCCTGGATGGCGGGGGGTGGCAGGGGGGCGGCAGCTTCATTGTCTTTAGAGTCAGACTTCTCCTCAAAGGCCTCAGGGTTCTCCAGCATCTCTCGGATCAGAGGAGGCATCGGGCCTGGGATCTCCATCTTCAGAGTGATGGCTCGCTCCGCTCCTGAACAGAGACACACAAGCATGATCGACCTGGTGCTTCGAGGTTTTAATCTCTTCATTTAGGTCCATATTTGACATATTTGTCATGAGCTTGTGGTAGAGTTTGCAGCAAGTAGGTAGGTAGTACGACTAGTCGACCCTTTTTACATTTCCAGGATCCTCGGAAGCAGAAGTCGTCATAGTTGGGTAAACTTCTATACTTCTAAAGAGCTTCCTGTCCCTCCATTGACAGCCTACGCAACTACCACTTTCAAGCCCCAGAAAGGTAGTAAAGACATAATTAAAGTAATCCATGTGACTCCAGTAGTTTAACCTCAATTTTATAAAGTGAAGCAAGTGTTTTGTTTGTTTGTGCAATTTACTACCTTTCTGGGGCTTGAAAACAGTTGCGTAGCTGTCAATGAAGGGACAGAAAGCTCTCAGATTTAATTAAAAAGATCTTCATTTGTGTTCCATTACGGGTTTGGAACGACATTTATGACAGAATTTTCATTTTTGGGTGAACTAAGCCTTTAATAACTCTAAAAACGCAGGC